TAATGGGTTAATGTTGGACTTGTGGGCTTGGGCAGCATTGGGTTGGGATGTTTTCGTGATGCACACTTTCTTTACATAAAACTCTCTTATAAATGAGTTGCTGTGGAGTTGTTTCTCTAAAGGACCTAGACTTATACAAGTGATATTTATTAAGTATCAGACTTTATGGGTCATAACTGAGTGGATGAGCCCTAACAATAAAAACATTAGACTTTAAGTATTTGAACTGTAACACATAGTAAGTTTGTAGGAGGACTTGATTTTTCCTCTCTCTCAGGAGCATGTTAATTTTCACCTTATCATGCATGGATTTATACTCACATCTCTGTGTGCAACCTTACAGGCATTGTATTTTGAATAGCTGTGATTACAGGTTGCTTTTCAACATAGAGCTTTACTGACCTGCACCTTGTTCTTATGCCAAGGTGCACTCCTTGCATTTTTAGCACTTGAAAAAAGTCCACAGTTTTCTTTTGATCTATCACCAGACTTTGTGATTTTTTTAAAAAAGTTAAAAACCTTGACACCCTAAACTCTATGTCTCCTTACCGTTCTTCAGTAATAAACCCTTATTGTTCAATGTGCACCTGTCCTATAAAAAATTGGCATGCTGTTCAGTGTGGAGACTAGAGTTTCAGGAAGGACCATATGAGAGATACAAGTATAAAAATTTAAATGGTATGCTGACAATTTATAGCCAGTCGTTTGAAGCAGTTCTATCCTAAACATTGGAAAATCTGGTTCCTAATGAGCAGTGTCTACATGTTGTTTTAACTGAATTTGGTGAAGGTTTACATCGCAGATAAACAGTTTTACATCAGTGATTCTATGCATTTGGTTTCAGCGCCTTCATTGCAGCCCCTCAATGTACCACCACTTCCTTCCCAGTGGTTCCTATTTCCATTTCTCCACTTTGAAACCTCCTGAACTTTGCCCTCGGGTAAATGCTGCCCCTTTGACCTTATATGATTGGTTATTCTACCTTACTAGTGTTATTGCTCTCTTGCTGGCCCCTCTATTGTTTGGTTGAAACAAACAAATAAATAACCCGAAGATGTAGTTTACTGATGTAGTGGCTAATTTTTTCGGTTGCTTTGGAACAGTAAAAAAAAGTACACGCATTGAATGTTGACGTGGTGGAGGCAATCTTATTTAGAAATCTTTCTTTGATTCACCTCTCCAAAAGAGTGCTGCACTGACATTGTGTGTGCTTAAAGTTATGATAAACACTTATTTTGTTATTTTTAGAAATTGACATTAAACCGGTCCCTAAATTAATTTACCAATGCTATTTTATTTTAGAAATGATTTCTTTTATTTTTTGATTTTCTCATGACCAATTTTTTTTTTACAGGCTTTTCTTTTTTTATGTCATTGTTTTTTTTAAAACATTTTATTAGGGGCTCATACAACTGTTATCGCAATCCATACACACATCAATTGTGTAAAGCGCATTTGTACATCATTCTCAAAACATTTTCTCTCCACTTAAACCCCGACATTAGGTCCTCATTCACTCCCCCCTCTCCCTCATGAGCCCTTGATAGTTTATAAATTAGTATTTTGTCATATCTTGCCCTGTCCGACGTCTCCCTTCACCCACTTTTCGGTTGTCTGTCGCCCAGGGAGGAGGTCACATATAGTTCCTTGTAATCGGTTCCCTCTTTCCTACCCATTCTCCCTTTACCCTCCCTGTTTTGCCACTCACACCACTGGTCCTATAGGGCTCATCTGCCCTGAATTCCCTGTATTTTCAGTTCCTATCTGTACCAGTGTACATCCTCTGGTCTAGCCAGACTTGCAAGGTCGAATTTGAGTCATGGTAGTGGGAGCGGGGAGGAAACATTTAGGAACTAGAGGAAAGTTGTATTTCTCATCGTTGTTACATCGCACCCTGACTGGCTCATCTCCTCCCCGAGACCCCTCTGCAAGGGGATCTCCAGTGGCCTACTAATGGGCTTTGGATCTCCACTCCGCACTACCCCCATCATTCACTATGGTAAAATTTTTTGTTCTGATGATGCCTTATACCTGATCCCTTCGACACCTCGTGGTTGCATAGGCTGGTGTGCTTCTTCCATGTGGGCTTGTTGCTTCTGAGCTTGATGACCGCTTGATTACCTTCAAGCTTTTAAGACCCCAGACGCTATATCTTTTGATAGCTGGGCACCATCAGCTTTCTTCGCCACATTTGCTTATGCACCCATTTGTCTTCAGTGATCCGTTCGACACCTCGTGATCACACAGGTTGATATGTTGTTCCATGTGGACTTTGTTCCTTCTGAGCTAGATGGCCGCTTGTTTACCTTCAAGCTTTTAAGACCCCAGACGCTATATCTTTTGATAGCTGGGCACCATCAGCTTTCTTCACCACATTTGCTTATTCACCCGCTTTGTCTTCAGCGGTTGTGTCGGGAAGGTGAGCATCATAGAATCTCATGACCAATTTAAACATTGTAGTGGTTACAGTATTTTTTTTTGATAGAGATGTTTATATTCCATTGTGTTATTTTGTGTGCCTTGTTTAAAAGTGTTAGCTATAAGTGTTTATTTGTAGATGCAAAAGACTTTGCTTAAGTAAAGATAGTGCTTTTAGGTGAATAGTTGTGGTTTCAACTATGTACTAATGCTACAGAATTTTAATAAGGATGTGTACTTCCAAGCTTTTAAAAAATCATTCCCTTTACTATTCATAATAAAAAATGTGTTTTGACCACATAGTTCATTAGTATGTTTTTACTTATCTTCATTATCATATAAGAATTATAAATTGAGCATATTTTAAGCAAGTCACATAGCCATTAGCAATATTCCATAGAAACTTACTTTCTACTTTTAGCAATTAAAAAAAAAATGACTATCATGATTTTCATCCATGATTTTGCCGAGTTTTACCTGGGAATAAAAGCCTGAGATGGAAAGTCTCTAGGAGACCTGAAAGGGTATCTTATCCAGGAGGGATAACTGAAACTCTGGTGAAATTGTAGATGTTGATGTGTAGCTTTGACATCTTTCCTTTATATTTCTTTTTATAAAACAAAATCATTGATGGTATATGTAAGTGACAATCTAAATAAATGTGATTTTCAGGTATTTGCAAGCATTTTAATGCATGCATTGTGTAAAATCACATTGCCTCTCAGTGTAAGGAATTTGTGTTCTTTTGAGCAGTGAAGGAAGAGTTTACTTGTGCTGTTACTAGCTTTGACCATGAGGATTTAACTTTCAGAACATTCATGTTCTGGTGCATGTTTTGGAGTGTATATAAGTTTGTGTTTCCCATTTTAGCGTGTGCTTTTGTAACTCTTACATGTTGAACTTCTGGGAGATGTACTAAATGCAAGCATTTAGAAGTGGGAACCCTGTGTTAATAAACCATAAGCATGTATCATGTATAAAGCTTTTAGAAAAGTCAAAACTGAGCTTATAATGTCCTTGGAAAAGGTGCTGCCATCACTGCATGTTTGGGATTTGGGTTTTACTTCTGATCTTACGTTCAGTTTTTCATTGAGCATTTATCAATCTATACATTTTACTTGCAGGAGAAATTTTGCTGTTCCATGTGTTAAGAACACCCCCTGGTCGAGGAAATGTTACTATTAATTGGAAAATTATTGGACAAAATCTAGAACTCAATTTTGCTAACTTTACTGGACAACTCTTCTTTTCTGAGGTAATGCGGGGGTGGAGGAGTAGTCTCACCACACAGATAATCTAGAGGAAACATGAAATTTTAAAGACAAAGAAACCTCCTTGTGTAATGGAAGATTAAAGGGGACTGATGAGAAGACAGATTGTTTGCTTGGGAATCTAAGCCTTGAGAAAGGATGTTGTTTTTCTGCATATGCTCTGGTAGATTGCCCTGAGGGAAACAGAACACGTGGACTTTGGGCAGGGAAACCTGCGAAAGCCGGAACTCCAAGGCCTGCCTTGTTTTCGCAAACCTTGCCATTTGACTGCCTTTGTCCGGGTGCGGTCTTGACACCTTTCTGGTGCTGAGTGGCCAGTGTTTGAATTTATCTTCTCTGTCAGGTTTCTGTCTCACTCTGCTTCCAGCTTTGTCTGGTTTCGCTTTATGGGATACAAGCTATGTTGACTACTCGTCTGCCATGCGGGAGGTGACGAAAGGGTCTCGTACTCTTCATGGGAGCCTTGAAGACCCAACAGCAGTGGGCAGAGCGCTCAAAGAAAAGCCATGCTAAGTCCTGTGTACACTCGGTTTTTAAGGTTCTGTTTAGGGACTGTGGGATATTTTGAAAGGAAGCTATTGGAAAGAAATACCTAAAATAAGCATTTCTTGACTATAAATCACACCACCACAGTATAATTATTCCTTCCTTCTTTCTTCTTCTTGCATACTGCATTGAATTCTTCTTGTGTCCATTTCCACGGCCCCAACCTGGAAACAGGTCCCTGCTGCCTTCTGCCTTAAGTACTATTTTGGACTCTGGTGACTGGTTGCCCTGCTACACTGAATTTCTTTTCCTTGCTCCAGCATTTTGTACTTACGAGTGTCCTAGGAATCTTTACATCTGATTGTCCTGTCTGGATCTTTTAGTAGTCGCATGGCTCACTGGATAAAATCTGAATTCATTAGTTCAGCATATAAGATCTTCTACTTTAGCATCTATTCACGCTAAGCGTGGTTTCCCATGAGTGACTGGATTTCATTTTAGTTTTTTTTTTTTAAGCCACAGAACTCTTAGTTTAAATGAAAATCTGTTTGGACATTCAATTTTTTAAGCTAATCTAAGCAGCAGATTGCCGTGTTCTGCAAAAATAGGAGGTATGGATTTCTTTCTGTTTGACATAGGGGTCTTTGAATCAAACGATACGTGTGCATTTGTTGGATGACAACATTCCTGAGGAGAAAGAAGTATACCAAGTCATTCTGTATGACGTCAGGACACAAGGTAATCTAGAACTAAGTTTAAAATAATCTTTCTAGGATAATACTCTTTTCAAAAAAAGAGTATATAACAGTTACTGTCTCTATATGTATAAAATAGATACAATGAGACCAAAATGTTTTATTTTAAACATTTCCTGTTCTATATAAATATTGTTAAAATCAACTTAATAAAAATATTTATATTTATGAGTTATGGGGGGGAAATCCCGATATAAGTGCTGTCAAGTATTTACTAATAGAATAAGATACATTAATGAAGGTGGTTTTATTTAGAAATTAATGATCTAAGATAAATTATATATTATAATATCTAATCATATTGTGCAATTACCTGAATAATTCAGATCCAATAAAATAACCTGGGCACACTCCTCAGTTTCTTCATTGTCTATTGCTCACTTATGACCAATATGTGAAAGAATGACAATAATAACTGAAGTGAGAGCGTTCATAATTTGCTGTCTATAAAAAGGGAAAGAAAATGTCAGCACTGTTTATCAACTGGAAGATAACTAACGTAACAGTGAATAGAAGCACTTTCTTGGTTCCGATAGCATGTAAGGATGGCTCTATGGTTCCTACAGCATGTGAGAGCAGGTGGTTGTATTTTAAGTATTTAGAAGGTTAACGCCACATCACTGTCAGATTTCCTGACCCGGTTCCTGACATTTGTAGGAATTCCACCAGCAGGAATGGCTTTGCTTGATGCTCAAGGATACGCAGCTGTGCTCACAGTGGAAGCCAGTGATGAACCACATGGAGTTTTGAATTTTGCTCTTTCATCAAGGTTCATTTTAGTAGAAGAGGCTAACACAACTATCCAGCTTTTCATCAACAGGGAATTTGGATCTTTAGGTTTGTATTACTGTAAATTGACTAGCGTTACTAGGGAGGTGCTTTTGGTAACATTTTACCTGTGTGCTTGAAAATTATTCCTGAAATATATCAGGCACAGGAAAGAAAAAGAATATTAACTCGTTGTGTTCAGCATTCATTACTGAACAGTTTAAAGAATATATCTTGTCGCCATCGATATTCATATAACAATCATAAAGCTCGGCATCCTGTGACTGTCTGTGGGTCTGTTTGGATAGGCCAGACTTGGCTAGGGGATAACTCTCCTCCATGGATTTCGCAGCCTTCTCCTGGGACCAGCAGAGGGACAAGAGAGCAAGCAGAAACTTAGAAAGCCTAGATTTAGCCTTTGACCTGTGTGTCGTAGTATTACTTTTACCTTGTAAAATTGCCCTAGCCTAGTCACCCAGCTGAATTGAGTCTAGAAGTGTTAGTAGCCCAGTGGGAAGCCACTAAGCTGTTACTGGGCAAAGGCTGTGGATCTCAGAAGGGGGAGCCATTGGGCAAGTCCTATATTCCACTAGAGGTACCTTCAGGAAAGCCCAAAAGAACACAGTGTGATATTATAATTATTTTATAAATTTAGATAGTTAAAATCTTTTTTTCCCTTCAAATTCAATTAGGAGTTATCAATGTCACGTATACCACAGTTCCTGGAATGTTGAGTCTGAAAAATCAAACGGAAGGAAATATAGCAGAGCCAGACGTGGATTTTGTGCCTGTCGTTGGCTTCCTGATTTTAGAAGAAGGGGAAACATCAGCAGCCATCAACATTACCATACTTGAGGTAAAGCTCGCAGGTTCTTGTTGTTATGTACCATTAAGTCATTCTGACCCACAGTGACCCTGTGCGTATCAGAAGGAAACACGGAATGCCCTGCACCGTCCTCAGTCGTTCCTGTGCTTGAGTCCATCACTGGCGCCCCCGTGTCCGTTCATCTCCTGAGGACCTTCCTCTCCTTCATGGCCCCTCCACTTTACCAAGCGTGATGTCCTTCTCCTGGGACAGATTTCTACTGCAATCTGCCCAAAGTACCTCAGATGAACCTCTAAGGAACAATGTGGCTTTACTTCTTCCAAGACAGATTTGGTTGTCCTTTTAGCAGTTCCTGGTACTTTTAATATTCTTCCCCAGTATTGATTCTTCTTCATTTTACCTTATTCAATGTCCACTTTCATATGTGTATGAGGCAGTGCAAAATACCATGGCTTGGATCAAGTGCACCTTAGTTTTCAAAGTAATATTCTTGCTTTTAAATACTCTAAAGAGGATTTTAAATACTCTAAATTTGTGCAAATTTACCTAAGGTATTGACTATGCAAAGGCATTCAGCCCTAATGAACTATGGATAACCTTGAGAAGAATGGGAATTACCGAACGCTTCATAGAGCTCATTACGAACATGTACATGGTTCAAGAGGCAGTTATACAAAAAGAACAAGGGGATGCTGAATGGTTTAAAATCAGCTTGGATCCACAATCAAGATTCATGGAAGCAGCAGTTAAGAGATCCAAATTCATATTCCATTAGGTAAGTCTGGTGTACAAGACTCCTTTAGAGTATTGAAGAGCAAAGATGTTACTTTGAGGACTAAGGTGTTCCTTACCCAACCCCGGGTACTCTCCAGTGCATTGTTTGCATGTGAAAGTTGGACGTCGATTAAGGATGACCGGAGAAGAATCAGTGATTTGGATTGTGGTGCTGGAGAAGAATATTCAAAGTACCATGGACTGCTAAAAGGACAAACCAACTTGTCTTGAAAGAAGTAAGGCCCGGTTGCTGCTCCTTAGAGGCAATGATGGCAAGATTTGGTCTTACATACTTTGGACACATTCTCAGGAGCCATCAGTCCCTGGTGAAGGACATCATGCTTGGTAAAGTGGAAGATGGTAAAAAATAGGAAGGCCCTGGACAAGATAGATTGACCCAGTTGCTGCATCAGTGGGCTGAGGCATGGGAACAAGGCACAAGACCACGCAGTGTTTCATTCTGTCGTGCATAGGGTTGCTATGTATCAGAGCTGGCTCAGTCACAACTAATAACAATAAGAACAACTTGTCATTGGACTTCTTCACTGTTTCTTGTGTGAGCATTGACTGCAGATCCAAGTAAAGTAAAATCCTTGACGTGAACCTTTTCTACACTTATCATGATACTACCGATCGGTCCATTTGTAAGGATTTGGGTCTTTACACTGAGTTTTAATTGATACTGAAGGCTAAAATCCTTGATCTTTATCAGCAAGTGTTTCAAGTCCGCACTTTCAGCAAGCACTGTTGTGTCATCTACATATAGAAGGTTTTTAATAAGCCTTCCTCCAATTCTGATACCATATTGTTGGTAGCCAATCCTGAATCCATCTTGTTGGATCCTTTATATAATCCAGTTTCTCTGATGATTTCCTCAGCATGCAGATTGAACATGCATGGTGAAAGGATACAACCCTGATGCATACTTTTCCTGGTTTTAAACCACGCCACAGCCCCTTGTTCTTTTTGTATAACTGCCCCTTGATCTGTGTATTCGTTTCGAATGAGCACAATAAAGTCTTCTGGAATTCCCATGCTTCTCAAGATCATCCAAAAATGTATTATGGTCTGCAGAGTCAAATGACTTTGAATAGTCAAACTCTCAAGTTATTACGACACTAAAACTGGGGTTAGCCACATATAAATCAGAAACTGATGGAATAGGTGTTGGGCTGCTAACCACAAGGTCATCAGATCAAAAACCACCAGCTGCTCTAAGGGAGAAAGATGAGACTTTCCACTACATGAAGGTTTCCAGTAGTTCTACTCTGCCCAGTAATGTGATGAGTCACAATGGACTAGCTGGCGGAGAGTTTGGTTTGAGTTTTCGAGCATATTATTAGCAGCCATGTTTAACTACAGACAACTTTTCATTTTAAGACATAACATTTCATATAGCCTACACCTGTCCGATATTTTAAGGTGTTTCTTTTTAATTGCTCAGCTTTTAGGATGAGATTAGATACTTTAGATATAACAATTTAGATACAACTATTATCTCTAGACACCTGGTGAATTCATTTATTATTTCCCTGCTAATGCCGTTAAATCAGTTCATATTTGTTCATTTATTTACATTTTCTCCCTCTTTGAATATCATCAGAGTTTTTGTTTTAGTTCAGAAAAGCTGGTGTGCCATTATGTACTTTATTAGAGAACAATCTTACGATACAGAAAATTTCCTTAGGGCAGCATTCGTTTAGAGTCTAAGGAAGCATTCTGGTTACTCCGTTAGGGCGTCGTAAAGCTAGGGAGGCCAGAAGCTTCGTGGGTTGCACTGGTTAGATGAGCGATGTGAGAAACTTACTAGAGGCTGTTAGTATCAATGTGATTGCAGGAAAGTTGATGACTGCTCACTAAAATTGCTGTTTTAAATGCATTTTCATATTCTTATGTCTTTAGAAATCCGTGACTTAGCTGTCTAAATGTATTTCTGAGAGGTTTTTAAAACAGTACATGTGGGGTGGTAGGCAGTGGCCCCCCTGGGGTTGTTGGTGACTCATCGTGTCACCCTCCTCTCCATGACCTCTCCTTAGCAGACCACAAAACCTTCAGGAAGGCGAGTTGTCACTTCAGTCATATATTAATACTGATACAGTTAGATTGTTCAAATGTAATAGTTCTTAGACTATATGAATACTAAGCACAACATTGTTTCTATATGGAATTTTATTCTTATTCACAATTTTATTAGTAACTGAGAATAAGCTTGTTTTGAATTTTCTCCTTCATTTCCTTTCATTGCTATTTAATTCTCACAAAAATTATTGATTTGGATTCACAGATACTAACTGCCACAATATTGTAGCCCAAACAGCAGAAAATATGACAAAATCAGAGAGTACAAAATGGAAATAATAGATGTGCTATTTTGTCCCTTACTGATTCTGTGACTCATGTTATTCGATTACATGAAATAGTTCAAAGAATGTGTTTGTCATCATTTTAATTTCCCACATGGAGGCATATCATTATTAAATCATATAAAACCTGTATTTCTAGACAGATGTCCAGGTTAGCATTTCAGCACACTTTTTTTGGTTATAATTTGAGGAGAGCATTTATTACATCTTAAAAGGGACGAAGACAACACAAAGGCAGAGGCACATCATCGAGATGAGGGAGGCCATTAGCACATCCCAGAATTCGTAGTTAGGACACTAGTTAAATAAGGCATGGACCAAAGGGAACTGTCACATATTCGTGATTGGTGGCAGATAAATACCGCATCTACTTGAGTATAAACTGACCCAAATATCCACAGAGGCATCTAATTTTACCACAAAAACTGCATTAAAGATGTCCTGAAAAACTCGGCTTATACTCGAGTATACGTGGTACATCACAGTTACAGGTGGGACCACAGAAGCAGGACCAAGGCAATGATTGGGGCACATATATACAAAATTGGCTGGGGGCATTTCTATCAAGGCAGTTAAGGCAAGACTGATAGGGCATGACTGGTGACTATGCAACCCCCTGGACAGTCCCTAGTAGGATAATCTCCATCAAGGACACTCATAGGCAGGCCGCCAAGAGAGACTGCCCCTCCCTAGGCTACTGGAGAGGGGTGGAGGTCATCTGTTCTCCAAATGTGCTCTGCCTGAGCCCAAGATTATCTTTATCCTTGGTTAATCATCACTAGGAATTCAATAAAAGCTTACTTTATGTGTGTGTGTGGGGGGGGTGTGTCTGCAAATGGATGTTGGGGTGTCACTGTCATCCGTAACCTTCTGTAAATGTGGGCTCATTACATATTTTGAGAAGACACAATGCAGCCCATACCAAAAAGCTACACTTTTTTCATGGAAAGCCTTTTCTGTCTCTTATTCTAAACATTGGATATGTAAGATAAGGTGCTTTTATTTTTTAGCTTATTATATTTAAAATATATTATTAATATATGCTTATCAAATTGGTTTACATATTTTATTACTCACCCATGGCCATCACGTTGACTCCCACTCATGGTGATCCTATAGCAGAGAGCAGAGCCACTCCACTGGGCTTCCAGGACGGTAAATCTTTTTCCTGCAGAGTGGCTGGTGGGTTGACCACTGGCCTTTCAATTAGCAGCTCAGTGCTTAGGCCACTGCATCTCCAGGGCTCTTTTCATATTATATTTGTCTAGACAAGATGAGAGCCCTGTGGTACAGTGGGTAACACGGTAGCCTGCTAATGAAAAGGTCAGTGGGTTGAATTTTCCAACTGCTATGTGGGAGAAAAAAGTAGCTATCTGCTTCTGTAGCAATAGCTAGCCTTGGAAACCCGATGAGGCAGTTTTTACTCTGTCCTGCGGGCCAATGTGGGTCACAATCAATTTGGCTGCAGTGGAACAGGTTAAAAAAAAAAGAAAGAAAGATACTGTATTAGTTTATTATGGTCCAAACTCGTAACACAGCCAGGTATTCGCTTGTTTTCATGTGAATTCTTAACACAAATTTAAATATTTTCAACTGTATTTTTCCATTTTATACTTTCTCTATAACCTTTGAGATAATTTAAAAGCAGCTGTAAAAGAGGTCATTTTGAAAGCATATATTGGGTCTTTTTTAAAAAATGGGTGTGTGTTTTATAGGATGATGTGCCAGAGCTGGAAGAATATTTCTTGGTGAATTTAACTTACGTTGAACTTGCCATGGCTCCTTTCACTTCATTCCCTCCGAGACTGGGTATGAGCTTTGTTTTGCTTTTGTTTTCTGTTTCTTTTTTCCCCCACTAACATCAGATATATTATATATTTAATATGTTTAAAACAAGGGCTATGGTGATGAAGTATGTTAGTTTGAGCGATGTGTGAAAATGGTGTAGCCTTTTATATGTATTCTAAGTCAAAGACTATGATATATTTAAATTTTCTCCATTGGAGAATATAAAGGTATTTAAGAAATATTATGTGCTGGCCTTTACATTTTACAATTACTTTACAATCAGATTTTCAATCCTTGAATAGAATTAGTTCTTGATATCACTGAGTCCACCAATGGCCGTTTTTTTTTCATTTTCTTTACGGTTTAATTACCTGTTTTCTTAGAGCTCCAACTATCATATGGTTTTGTTTTCTCAATTTACTAAGGGCTTTTGTTTGTCTGCTATATTCTCTACTGCTTTTTGACCTCTTGTCTTTTTCTTTTCATGCTTTTAGAAAAGACTCAGTTAATTCATTACAGACTGAAAGGTAAAATTTGAGAATTGAGGATTTGTACAGATGTCTTTAAAAAGAGGCATTCCTCATGTGAAAATACAGACTCCTAGTTGGTGTTCTTGGCAAATTGTCTGAAGCTCTTAGGTGTGATGGCCCAGCTGAGGGAGGAGGTGGCGAGCACTGAGGGGAGCCTATATCGTTGCCATTGTTAGAAGATGTGTTGAGCAGAGGGGCCAGGAAAACAAGTTAGGGGAGGGGAAGCGTGATCAGGAGCCGTGTCCCAAGAAAGAGGGCCTCCTCGTTTTATTTCCGAGGTTCACTGAGAACCTGGAAAGTACTGAAAAGCAGCAACCAGCTTCCAGTATATCGTTTAAACAGTTTCAGTTATTTTGCAAAAGAAGTAGATGCTTCCAGCAACTAGACGGTTTACAGGAAACAATTGGTATAAGAGATAAACATGTCTCCTTCTAAGAAAACGAACAAAATGCTTCATATTGTTTCATATTAGGATAAGAAGTCATTAGAAGAGTTGTTGTAGGTTGAGGCACCTTTCTAAGTCCTTTGTAGATGAGTATCACTATCACATATGTTACTCCATTTTACAGATGAGGGAACCGGAGCTCAGAGAGGATAAGTCACATGTCCAAATCCCCACAGGTAGTAAGTACCTGCTAGACTTGGGATTCTGTCGGCATGGCCCGACGTTACAGTCTGTGCTTTGTAGCTTCTGGTCTGATAAGCATGAATCCAAATTTCTTCTTTTTTCAACAATTTTGTTCTCTTCTTTTTAGAAATAATTATAGTCCCCCTATTCAGGCAGTTACCTAAGTTGAAGAGCTTCTGAAATTTAAAAGCTAAAGGGCAGTTGAAATTTTTCTTTTGTTTTTTAAAGCAGTAGTAGAGTTATTTAAGATTTCAAGAGTGAGTATCGGTAACATATTGAAATTGATGGACAGAACACAAAATGAGCAACTTTTGTCCACCCACTTAGATTAGGGCAGCGTGTGTCTGCCTTTATCTCTGTGTTCCACCAAATCTTCTCCTCCTCAGTCCCGTCTTTTTCCATCGGTGTTTCTTTCTGGGGCCCCCACTAGCTTTCTCTTCTTATTTATTTTCTTGTTCTCTTTCTGCTTTTCAAATGTGCCAAATTTCCTTCCCTCCTGATACGTTGATAATGTAGAACAGTGATGCTAATATTAAAACAAAAAGAAACTTGTGGAAATAGAAAAAAATCCATAAGCATACTTGTGCATTATTTATTATACTGTTCTCAGTTGATTAATATTCTATCAATCAGTGGCAATTGTTACCAAAAATTTTCCTCATTTTAAGGTTATAAACATTCATATCTTTACATTTTCAGCCTCTTTGGAGTAATGTTGGTAATATCTACATATTATGAAGTCTGTTTTTATATTCTACATCTAATAATGCTTTCGTTAATCATTTATATTAAAATGTTATTGCATTTGTTCTGTTTTCAGATACAGAAGGCTTGACTTCACAGATTGTTATTGATGCCAATGATGGTGCCAGAGGGATTGTTGAATGGCAGCATGGCAGGTGAACCTAAGACTGTGCAAGAATCCTTTTCTGGGCTTGAGAAGATTTACCATCTGTGAAATAAAGTTGTACATAAAAAAACAACATCTGCATTCTCTTTACTTTTTTCTAGGTTTGAAGTAAATGAAACCCAGGGAAGTTTAACCCTGGTCGCCCAGAGGAGCAGAGGAACGCTTGGCCACGTGTCACTGTTTGTGTACGCACAGAATTTGGAAGCACAGCTGGGGCTGGATTATATCTTCGCCCCAATGGTAGGACTCAGGATCAATCAAAGATCATGTTTACAGATTATTGTCTAATTAGTCCTTCAAAATTACAGTGAGTTAGGTTCTGTAGAAGTAAATTAATATTAAAAGAATAAAGTATTATATATCTCACTGTAAATTTCCTCAGAAGACTTCCATGTGGTGAGATGAATTTTCTCCGTATTTTAAAGATATAGTTAGAATTATAAAGGTTAGTTGATATTTTACTGCAATATTTAATACTGGAAGAAGCTTTTAATGGGTTAAAGAATTTATTTAACCAGCTAATCTTGCTAAAATGTTCTTCATAAGCGTTTTGAAAAATTTATCTCTTACATTTGTTTTTCTTAATTCACTGAAACATCTGTGAGGTTCCTATATATATTTTATTTTCTGTCTTCAGGCCTTTAATTCCTTAACCAAATATATGCTTCCTTCTTTTACTTTAATACTTATATTTCTTTAGTTTACTCTTTTTCCAAGCTCCTATTTTATTAGGAGCTGATCCTGACATATCATTCCATAGTTTAATTACATAAGCAGTATTAGCAATTGCTACCAAAATCAGATTCAAACCATTTTCTTCTTCTTGAACTCCTTGATATCAGCTCCCCTTTACCCCAACCCCCCAGGAATCCTTATTCTAATTGTTGTGTCAATTAATTCACCTGACTTGGGTCTCATATATTGAAAGACATAAAAACGTAGAAAAACACACAACAAAGATTAAAGAAGGCTACCAACAATGACAAAATACAGCAAAAATAAACCCTCAAATGGAAGCGAACAAACAAAACCAGATCAAGACCAAAGTGTGTCCGAGGAGAGATCAAGTGACAAGGTTTTAACCATTTTAACAGTATCTTTTCCATCTACTGTAGACATCTCTCCAATACTCTCTGTCTGGTGACAAGATTATTCCCATCTGTCAATTATGGTTAGAGGGAAATCACAAGAAGCTTTTTTTCCAATGTTGATCGTGCAAATGTATTTTTGGCTTCCACTGTTATTCATAGTCTTCTGCACACTAGAATCTCACAATTTAAGCTCCAATACTATTTCCTTCTTCAGATTTGGATTTCATGGGCTTTTTTTCATGTGTACTTAGTTGATGTGTAACGTAGATGGCTACTTGTTTGGAAAAAAGCCTTTAAGACCCAATATGCTATTTTATCTGATAGCCGGGCACCATCTAATTTATTCACCACACTTTGTTATAGCACCCATATCTCCTGTGTTTCCCTCAAGGGGGCAAATATGAGGAGGAGCCATGTCATAAGAACTAATTGTTCTTATATTGTAGATAGGGGCCCCAAATCCATTCCTGAATCTATATCTGCTGCTGATTCACATTAGAGACCTCTTTGTTAATTTATGGTAGAGAATCTTATTTATCATCTCCCCGGGGCATGAGAATCTTCTGTTAATAGTGTTACTGATTAGTTTATGGTACTAATTTTAAACCACCATTGACAGAGGGAATTGAACAAGTGTTGGTTAGCTACATATTGTAATACCATGATTATTTCACTTGTACATAATAAATCTTTACATGCTTGGACAGTATTTGCACAAGCAATGAGCATTGGTTGTCAGACATAACTTACACTAATACCCACTGACAATGTCAATCACTGGTCTGCCAGAATAATGCATATCTTAATACAGCAAGTAGGGCACTGAAGTAGTAAGTAAATGTTAGCCCACCTGTTGACAGTTCAATGCTCTTGGTATAGCTGTCTTCCGCTTCTTCACAGACCATGTAATTTGTCTTAAGGCCTTAGATTGCAGGTGTGTTTGAGGTAGAATCTAGTTCACCTAGCAGGGTTTCCACATCGTATCCCTCTGGCATGGCCTTTGAAGCTTGTTGTGTGTTTGAAGATCCAGAATTCAGTGTCTCGGTGTTCTATGGCACATGACATGTGTCCCAGGGGGTGTACAGAAACTTGGACCAAGGTGGTTTATTAGATGCTATAATCAGGCATACTCTCCATTCAGGGTCCTTAAAAGTGTTTTTAGTCATTTTTCCCCTCATTAGGAAAACGATCCTCCCCACTTTTCTCCCCAAACGTGCATTTGTCTTCTCCCAGATGTACGTGCTCCCTCCCCCACTCCTGACTTTACTTTCCCTTCAGTATCCCACTTCCCTCTGATAGGAATGTCTGTCAGTCCAGGGGAACCTCGTCATAGCTTTGCAGAGAAGCTACTAGGCGGTCACCCTCCCTCTCCCCTCACAATAATCTGACCCCAGATGATGTGATGTGAGGACCCTTCTGCCAAAGTGACCTTCAAGCTACACACGTAGAGAGGAAGGTGCATGGGTCACAGGCACCTGTCAGTCTCTCTTCTGAGCTGCCTGGCCACCCTGGTCAGCAGACTGGGAGGCCTGAAAGCCTGAGTGTGTGTCCGTCCTGTTGCTCGTTCCTACAGCTGTGGAATCATACAGTATTTGTCCTTTTGGGAGGGACTGACTTCACTCAGCATAGTGTTTTCCAGATCCCACCATGTCATGAGGTATTTCATCGCTTTATCACTTTTTTAAGGGATGCATAGTATTCCACTGTGTGTAAAAACCAAATTTTTTTTAGCCATTCTTCTACTGATGAGAATATGGGCTGCTTCCAACTTGCTCTTGTGAACTGTGCTGCTGTGAACATGGGAGAGCACATGTCTGTCTGAGCACATGTTCGTGATCAGTCTCTTATTTCTTTTGGGTATATGCCCAGCAATGGTGTTGCTGGGTCTTATGGTATTTCTATTGACAGCTGTTTTAGGAATTTCCATATCACTTTCCACAGTCATTGTATGTATTTGCAGGCCCACCAGCCTCATAAAGCGTTCCAATATCTGCAGTTTTTGTTGTTCTCTTTTTAAATTGGGCTATGATTGTGGGTTTTAATTGATATCACATCGCTGTTTTAATTTGCTTTCCTGGAGGGCTAGTTAAAGAGAGCATTTCCTCATGTACTTGTTAGCTATTTGGGTGTCATCCTTTGTCAATTGTCTATTCAGGCCTTTAGCCCACCTTTTAATGTTATTTATTTATTTATTTTCTTCTTGTAGGCTTGCAGTATTCTGTAGAGTTTAGCAATTAGTCCTTTGTCCATATGTCACAGCTAAATATCTTTTCCAAATCTGTGGACTCTTGTTTACTCTTTTGCTTAAATCTTTTGTTGCATATGGGCGTTTTATTTATTTATTTATAAATCATTTTATTTGGGGCTCTTACAACTTTTTTTTATAAATCATTTTATTGTGGGTTTATACAACCCATACCATAATCCATCCATCCATCCATCCATCCATTGTAGCAAGCATATTTGTACATTTGTTGCCAACATCATTCTCAAAACATTTTCTTTCTACTTGAGCCTTTGTTATCAGCTCCTCATTTCCCCCCCTCTACCTGGCCCCTCCTCCCTCACGAATCCTTGATAATTTATAAATTATTATTTTTTCATGTCTTACACTGTCCGATATCTTCCTTCACCCACTTTTCTGTTGTCTGACACCCAGGGAGGGGGTCATATGTAGATCATTGTGGTCAGCTCCCCCTTTCTACCCCACCTTCCATCCACCCTCCTGGTATTGCCACTCTCACCACTGGTCCTGAGGGGTTCATCGTCCTGGATTCCCTGTGTTTCCACTTCCTGTCTGTACCAGTTTATATCCTCGGGTATAGCTGGATTTGTAAGGTAGAATTGGGATTGTGATAGTGGGGAGGAAGCAAGCATTAAGGTACTAGAGGAAAGTTGTGTGTTTCATTGGTGCTATACTGCACCCTGACTGACTCATCTCCTCCCCAAGATCCTTCTGTAAAGGGATGTCCGGTTGCCTACAGATGGGCTTTGGGTCCCCACTCCCCACACCCCCTCATTGACAATGATATGATTTTTTTTCTTTGATGCCTGATACCTGATCCTATCAACACCTCATGATCACACAGACTGGTGTGCTTCTTCCATGTGGGCTTTGTTGCTTCTCAGCTAGATGGCCACTTGTTTATCTTCAAGTCTTTAATACCCCAGATGCTATATCTTTTGATAGCCATCAGCTTTCTTCACCACATTTGCTGATGCACCTGCTTTGTCTTCAGCTATCATCTAGGGAAGGTGAGCATCATGGAATGCCAGTTTAATAGGACAAAGTGTTCTTGCAATGAGGGATCACATTGAGTGAGACTCAATGTCCATCTGCTACCTTAATATTTAACCTATAAATATATACACATAGGTCTATTTCCCCATCATCATATATAAATATATTTATATAAGTACATGCCTGTATTTAGACTCTATTAATGCCCTTTGTCTCCTAGTTCTTTCCTCTATTTCCTTTTACTGTCCTTTTGTCCTACTATCATACTCAGCCTTCATTTGGGTTTCAGTAATTCCTCTAGGTTACATTGCCCTTGATCTAGCCCTACCAGGCCTCTGATGCCCTCTTTGCTACTGATTTTGGATCACTTGTTGTTCCCTAGTCCCTGGGTTTATTAACACCCACTCCTCCCCCCCCCCCTTCTCCCATGTCCCTCCGACCGTCGGTCCCATTGTTTTCTCCTCCAGATTGTTTATCCTGCCTATCTTATCTAGATACACCTGCAGAGATAATAATGTGCACAAAAAAACAAGACAAAGCAAAACAAAGCAGCAAAAGAAAACAAAACAATAACAACACCAACAACAAAACAGTAACAAAAAAGAAAATCCTGTAATAGTTAAAGGTCTGTTTGTTGACTTTTAGGAGTATTTTCTGGTCGGGTCTGATGGGGTGCCATGCCCTGGCCCCAAAGTCTATTTTTGGTATTCCCATGGGACTTCCTTGCTCTGCTTGCCTTGCTGTTCTGTTACACACCCTTCGTGTTTTGCCTCGGTGTGGTGAGATGAGATCAGGTGCAATTCCCACACTGTCTCCAGTGTTGTACCCTGTAGAGCTATGGGTTAGTGAGGGATGTCGTGTCTCAGAGTGGGGCTGGTCATAAGGTTCTCTCTGTGCATTGACTGTGC